AGTATTGGAATTACATGTACACTACAGCGATGCCTGGTGACATAAAGAATGGGTCGATGAGCACATGAATTGCGAGGACATCGCAATGAATTTTCTGGTAGCGAATATTACTGGAAAAGCCCCGTTAAGGTAAGCAAGATTTTCAACCAATTTATTGATATTTCGTGAAAATCGTATAAAATCTTATAGGTGACACCAAAGAAGAAATTCCGAGTGTACCAATACTGAAATGCTATCCGCGGATTTGACGCACATGGTGGAACGTACACAGTGTATAAATAAATTCTCTTCTATTTATGGAACTATGCCATTGGAATCGGTTGAATTTCGCGCAGATCCGGTTCTCTTCAAAGATGTATTCCCAGAGAAATTACAGCGATTCAATGATATAGGCAGTTTATAATTTGCGTATAATTTTTTTAAAATAATCATGGAAGTCAGTTTATATATTTAATATGAATCAGTACTACGATCCTGGTAGATCATCGGCAATTCATTAAAAAGGTAAAAAAAGATTAGTTTATTGAGAATGTACATATTTATCAATTAAAATGTAGGTATATAAAATGTCCAATTATACTACAATTGGATTTATTCAAAGTTGAATTAGATTTGCTATTTTTTTTCATAATATTATATGAAAATGTGTAAATAATGCAACAGTCTATAAAAAATACAATTTTGATAACGAACTAATTATACAATCTAATTATAAAATCTTTTAAAACTCTTCAAATTAAATTCTGTATTTGTGATGATAATTTGAACTCGATTTACTTTATTCGACTTTGAATACTAACAAATTGCAAATCTTATTAAAAATGATTATATACTTAATTATCTATAATTCCATTTAATAACTGACCTCAATATCTTCTTAATTCTACCTAAAGTCTATTAATTGTAATATATATTGTGACGCCGTAGTCCGCTGCAGCGGAGCAGCGTCCTGCCGCCGTCACAAAGCGCGGGTTCGCGCCCCCTTTTTGCCGGACCGACAGCCGCGTCGTGAGAGCGAGACCGAGATCTCCGGGAGGCCCGAATTTAAACGCGTGCTTTGTAGTAATTTTCGTTGAACCTCTTCTATGTATCGCGGCACCTCACCGAACCAACGGAGCGTCAGCGGAGAGGACCCAAGGTCATCGACAGCAAAAGGGAGTTGGAGTACGGGCGACCTGGCGCCGGAGCAAAGGGGACACGCACCGGGCACGCGGCGGACAGGTGACAGAGCGCGTGAACGCGCGCAAGGATAGCAGAGCCGCCAGGGGCGCGACCGGGAAGGCGCTGTGGCTGAGGCCCGCGAAGGGCGATACGGCCGGCGATTTCCCCAGGGCTCGGGGACATCGCCGAGAGCTGCCGGGGCGAGATAGCCAACTCGTCCCGGAATTCAAGGGCGAAGGACGCGCCCATCTGATTCCACGCCGCCACATCCTGGATATAGGGCGACCTCGCGCGGGCGCGAGGCGCCCGCATGCAGAATCACCTGATCGCGCCCATGCCACGGCAGGACCCCCGCGGTGCCGTGATTGGTCGCGGACGACTGCGCCGCTGTGTTGCGCACCCCCGGGCTGGGGGTGCAGGCATCGATCGCGAATTGAGCGCGATCTACGCCGCTTTTGCGTGCGAACGACCGAGGCGAGCGTGCGGTCAAGCGGAGCGATCGATATAGCGAAAGAGAGAGAGAGCGAGAGAGTGCGTTGGCGAGAGCGAGGAGGAACGAGCCGCTGTCGGACCTGCTACCCAGGAGGCTGAGATTGAGACCGTGCCGGTGAGGTGACCCTCTTTATCGCGTGTAAAGCCACGGGCTGATCGAGGATCTTGCTCGCCCTCTGCGGACGTGAACGCCATTTTAGTGTTAGAGTTTCGTCGCGTGCGCCCCTTTGGCGACGCGTATCTCGTAGTTGCTCTTTGATTTGGCGTACCGGCGTCCGTCCTCAAGTGCGAGGGTTCTCATCGGATCTGCCGTGAGCGATCGGGAGTGTCGTGAGTCGCGTATCGAGCCACCCGGAGATCGTCGTCGCGAGTTCGCCGCAAAGCCCTCGCGCCTGAGCGCGCGAGCGTTAGAGTAAGTGTGTGAGTACTCGGAATCACGAGTGCCGCGCGTCGCGCTGTATTGTGATATTGCGCGCGATTTCATTGCGTATCGGTGTAAGTCAATTTTCTATCGGTTTTGTTTCCATACGAGTGTCCGACGCGTAAACTTACGATTGACTTCCTCGGTTATACTTGTCGCTAGACCTCGGTACTCGTGTCGTACCGAGCCCCGTCCGTTATTGTACCATCGCGCCGACTAGTTTTGAATGTGTTTCTTTTTGTTTCCGGCCGAATTTTACGTCTATTTCTTGTCTTTTTCTTTCGCTACGCTGGAATTTATCACGCCGTCGGATTACCCGCGCTTAATAGCGTCGACTCAGTCTTTTCACTTCCGTATTTTTCTTACCGAATTGTATTATCTTTTTTTTCTCCGCCGTTTCTTACCGCCTGTCTAAGCGGGTAATAAACAACCTCGTTATTATTGTTACTATTAATCTGGAGTACGAATTCTTTCGCCCGCCCCGCGCCATCCTATCGCCCTGAGCCTAACTCGCCCTTTTGCCTCGCCCTGCCCCTCTGCCCATACAGAACAAAATATATAATAGATATCTACTGGATATTCACATATCTATACACTATCCATATCCATTATGGTTAACTAGTAGATATCTAATAATTATCTACACATCCATATTCACTAAACAGCTACCAAAGATATCTATTAGATATTTATTTGTTGTCTACATATCTATGTTAACAAAATATTTACCGGAGATACTTAATAAACATATACGTATGTGTTAATTAAAAATTTACACATTGAATAATTATTTAAATAATATTAACACGTAAATA